TTTGCAAAACAAATCTCAACGATTGAAATCGGCTGCCGGCAGTCTTGGTTTCCATCAGTGAGAGTGCATCCCCGATCATTACCTTTGTCCGACAAAGGGATTGATTTTGTCACTATGATCACCCACTCAGATGAATTCTCGGACTGTCCCAACATACCCAGGTTTTGACCCCTGCTAAGGATTTCACTTATTGGCATATCCAAGATAGCCCAATCCGACACCTAGTGTAGTATCATAATCGAGTCTAGGGGTTAGGTGTAACTTTCTAGTTTTTCCCACTAATCTCCAAGGTCCAGGGCATTACTAGAAATCTAGTCCGGTTCAAGGTTTCAAATAAACCTACACTGCGTGTGCTTTGGGTATCACCTTGGCAGCTGAGACAGACCACTCCAACACTTGGCAGCACACCAGTGGCAGCCTTAGTAGGATAAATCTCCCCAGACTTATACAACGGCTGTGAACATTCTAAACTAACACGAGTCTCATTAAGTATCTAGTTTAAGGATATTACACAGAAACACACCATAAGAACACGAATCAAATATGCACTTTATTCATTTACAATAAATGTCATAAGTACATCAATCTGATTGGAGCTAAGGGCATACAACTGTCTAACAACTCCCACTTGCACTTAGGTCCAATCTGCTATAAGCCAGAGTCCCATACTTTCCACATGTGGCAAACATTTTCAGTGTTAGTGGCTTAGTCAATGGGTCTGCTACATTCTCCGCTGATGCTACCCTCTTAATTAGGACGTCCCCTCTACCAACAATATCCCGTAGTACGTGGTACTTCCTCTCGATGTGGTTGGACTTCGAGTGGGCTTGTGGCTCCTTAGCCTGAGCAATCGCTCCATTGTTGTCACACAACAGCGGAATGGGTGATGTGCTGGATGGAACTACTCCCAATTCGTGAATGAACTTTTTTCATCCACACGACTTCCTTGGCAGCTTCACTTGCGGCAATGTATTCGGCTTCGGTTGTGAAGTCTGCCGTGGACCCCAGTTTGCTACTTTTCCAGCAAACAGCACACGATCCTATTGTGAAAACATACCCAGATGTAGACTTTCTATCATCTGGATCCGACTGGAAATCGACATCAGTATACCCCTAGATCTGTAGTGAGCTACCATCGAATACCAGACAAAACTCTTTTGTCCTTCGAAGGTACTTAAGTATATTTTTCACAACGGTTCAGTGCTCCTGCCCTGGGTTGGCCTGGAATCTGCTTACCACACTCACTGCCTGAGCAATGTCAAGATGAGTGCACAACATGGCATACATGATGCTCCCTACGGCTGAGGCATAGGGAATGCCCTTCATGCCCTCAATCTCCTCAGAAGTCTTGGGAGACATCTTCTTGGAGAGAGTGACTTTGTGCCTGAAAGAAACATTTCCCTTCTTGGAGTTCTCCATGCTGTCTCTCTTGACAATTTTGTCAATGTAAGCAGATTGGGGATAATCCTATTATCCACTTTGATCTATCTCTATAGAGTCGAAGACCTAGTATATAGGAGGCTTCTCCAAGATCTTTCATGGAGAATTGCTGTGAAAGCCATACTTTCACCGTAGTCAACATTCCTACGTCATTCCCAATGAGTAGAATGTCGTCTACATATAGAACCAGGAATGTAACCTTATCCCCAATGGACTTTCTGTAAACACAGGGCTCATCCGAATTTTGCTCAAAGTCAAACTTTTTGACGGTAGAGTCAAACCGTCCAACTTTTTGACGATAGAGTCAAACCGGCTTGGTTTGAGGTCCCCATGTGTTCCTGACCCGCAACTATGAAACCTTGCGTTTGCTGCATAAAGATATATTCAGTAAGATTTTCATTCAGGAACGCAATTTTGACATCCATTTGCCAAATATCGTAGTCATGGTATGTTGCTACAGCTAGTAGGATCCG